GTTTCCCCAGGATATTGGCAACCAAACACACCGATAAATCCAAACCTTAAAAGAGTCCACTTTATTTTTATTTTTATGTTGTCTCTTTCCTTTTGGACAACCAATTCTTTTGTTCCAATAAAATTGGTTTAAAATATTAATTTTATTTAATTTACCTGTTAAAAAATAAAGATAATAATTAGTACACATTTTGATTTCATAGATTCTATAATATATTTACTAAAAAAATTATTTTTTAAAATTTTAAATTAAAAATAAAAAAATTATAAATTATAAATTGTAATGATTGAATCGAGAAGTATCATATATAATCATTTATTTGCTCTTTATAATTAATTATATACCTAATATAACCAATTGCACTTTCATTATAATCAATTACATTGCACTCAATTTTTTTTAGCAGGAAAATTTAATTTTCAAAACTAAACCAATCCATTTTTAACGTCACTTTCCCATATCTTTTTTTTTTAAAAGAAATTACATACGGAAACAACCCTTAATACAAGTTTCAATTTGAAAATTTCCTACCATGGAAGTTGATAAGCTAAATTTATATATATGTTAATGTGAAATTATTGTCTTGATATTGTTGATATTTAGATGAGTTTTATGAGATTTTATTTGATTTTACATAATTTTTATTCTTTGTGTAGAAAAAGACTTAATTGGAAGAAATCATAAGTTTTAGGAGTAAATTACAGAGATCAAAAACTTGAGGATCAACTTGTGCAGAACCTAGAAGTCAGGGACCAGGACTGTTCTTTTACCATTACAGAAATTGCTAAGAAGGACAAAAACCCGACACGGTGATGGCATCCTGCGGTTAACAAAAGTGTCGGTATCTTGTTGAAAGTGTTGACCCCTTACGCGATTTTCACCGAACCCGTGTTAAATTAGGTATTATTGGTGTGGGTCTCACTTTTATTATAATTAAAATTTCTAAAATCCTATAAATACTCATCCAAATTAAGAATAATGTAGCTTTTGTGGAGGCTGATGGCAGCTATCTTTTAGGCACTCTTAGAGTTAAGGTATAAAATCTACCAACAAAAAGATTAATTTTTGCATAAGTTTTCAACAGAGCAGTTGGAACTTGGAAGGGATAAAAAGGAAATGAAGACTCCAAGGAGATCGGCATCTTCATCAAAATCAATTCAATGGTATTCCACATTCATTCATTCTTAGTCCTTAATCCTAAGCTTGCTACCTCTATTAATATGTGATTTCGATGATACTTGCAGGCGGAGGTGGATAAGAAGAAGCTGAAGCTGTATTCCTTTTGGATGAGCTCTTGCTCTTTCCGGGTTCGAATTGCTCTCAACTTAAAAGGTAAGCTTGGAAATCTGAATTCATCTCCTCTGTTTTTTAAATTATTCAATCACTCTTTCTCTCCTTTCAGGGCTTCAATACCAATATATACCTGTTGATCTCCTCAAGGAAGAACAATTAACTCCCGGTGAGTAATTTCTTTTTACTTGTTAATCTTGACTTCTCATTCGCTAATTCATAATCATATTCATATTTTGTTTCTGTAAAAATTTATGGGTAGAATTCACCGAGGTCAATCCAACGGGATATGTACCGGCCCTGGTTGATGGTGATGTTGTGGTATCCGACTCTTTAGCTATTTTGATGGTCAGTTCCTCTACCTATACCCTCTCTTTCTACTTTCACTTCATTGTTTCAATTCGTTTTGCTCTAATTGCAGTATCTAGAAGACAAGTACCCTCAACATCCACTCCTACCATCTAATCTTCATCAAAGAGCTATCAATTATCAGGTAAGTAATTATTCTTCTTAATTATTTCTTCTCCCTTTAATTTCATACACACACAAATTCATCAATTGACTCATTTTTGTAGGCTGCAAATATTGTTTCCTCAAGCATTCAACCTCTTCAGCTATTTGGACATGTTAGTGCTATTTCATTCTTCAAATCAAAATGATACTTTTCTGGATTATAACAATGTCTATTATATTTCCAGAAATCTGTCAAGGAAAAATTCGGTGCACATGAGGAACTTTCTTTTAACAGATACCATATTGGCAAAGGCTTTGAAGGTAACATATGTGCTATATTAGTTATCATATTACTTTTTTAATTGACAAGTAATCGAGTAACCTTTAGAACCATTAAACATGATTAAAAAAACAGTAAATAAAGATTCAAGAGTTTTAACACTTTTTTCCAACAGGGGTTCAAGTATAGCAATAGCAAATATAAAAACGAAAGTTTTGAAGGTTTACTTTTATTTTTATTTCTGAGGGGATGGCAAAATAAAATTTTATACCTTGGGAACACAGGGGTTAAAAAGAAACTAACACAATCACCATTTCCAGCAAGGTCCCATAAACCCAAAATAATAATAATATTATTATTATTATTAATCAAATATTAAGGGCTAACACTTTTTACAACAAAGGTACAGAGTTCCTTTCCTTATTGAATTTAAGGCTTGAGCTTGATTTAACTGTTTCTTTCTATTTATTTCAGCATTTGAGAAGCTTTTAAAAGACCATGCAGGACGATATGCAACTGGAGATGAAGTTTTCTTGGTTTGTTTCTTTTGCTCTTGTTTTTAGACCTTTATATTGTTCTGTTATACATGGTCAAAGCACTCAAGGTGCATATACTTTCCCTAAAAGAAGTTTTTGTGAAATGGAGGTTGGAGTTTTAGTGTCACCTTCAAGCACTTTCGCTTCTTACCTTTTAATTTCTTGCTGCAAACTGTGATGTCCAGATTATACCCTGTTGTTTTTGGGGCCTAAACCTTGATGTAGTTCTTTATTCTCAAATTATGGGTCTAGGTTTTCTGAGATAAAATGGGCTAACCATTGTCTTTAATTTTTGGTAAAATGAATATTTTATTACCAAAAAATTCTATAGCCCTTATCTTAAGGCTGCTACTTCAGTTCTATAAAATGATTGAAAGAGACAATGTGATATACCAAAGCACATTAGGCCCAACCATTGTCAATGATCAGTGTTTGATATGCTATTCATCGTGGTATTGTTGTAAACTGCTTACCGTCTGAGTTGCTTTAGGCAATGTTCTTTGAAATTTCACTTAAACTGCTTACTGTCTGAGTTGCTTTAGGCAATGTTCTTTGAAATTTCACTTAAACTGCTTACTGTCTGAGTTGCTTTAGGCAATGTTCTTTGAAATTTCACTTCTAATTAGACTAGAGGACAAGAGTTCTTGTGATATATTTTAATTTATTGTGGAAAGCATCAAACCTAATAGTAACAGGCTATCTTTTGCAGGCTGATTTGTTTTTGGCACCACAGATTTATTCAGCAATTAAGTGGTGTAACGTTGATATGGTAATGCTTATAATTCCTTGAACTTCTTGCCAATTTTACATTCAATTTGTGTTTGTTTGAATGTATACTTAGGCCATTACGACAGAAGGGCTGACTTATTGTTGGAGATATCTCTGATTCTCTATTTTTGTGCGCTGTGTCTTCATCCTTTTAGAACAAACTTCTGAACTTTTAGAATATTTGGGTCTATTAGTTTTGTAGTGTTTCTATTCTATTTTCAATCTAATTTTTCATTAATATTAGTAAAGATATGGAGCTATCACCTTACCCTTAATGGCCTTTCATAGTGGGCACCTACTAAGTCTTCTTTATTCTCATGTCATTTTTGCAGGTTCAATTTCCTCTTTTAGCTAGGTTGAATGATGCCTATAAGGAGCTACCTTCATTTCAAGATGCTATGCCAGAGAAGCAACCAGATGCTCCTCCATCAGTAGCCAGTTAAAGTTGTCCTACTTCCAGTGCCAATTGACTTTAAAGGTAAAGATGCCAAAAGTATCGTCTAAATGGCTAGAAATAAGAAGGAAGTTTGCAAAGTGTCATTCCTGTATGTAGAATGGCGTGGGCACCTTATAGATGTGATACTGAATAAAGTTATAAACGATATGAATATGTGGTTTTTAAGACCATTTGGAATGTTTATCATGATAAAGCTGAATGTTAGGAAATTTCATTGGCTTCAAATTCCGAATGTTGGTATCTAGCTACTTGTACTAATAACACCAAGAGAGAACCAAAAGAATCTCAAGGAGTCATTTCTCAAATGCTATGTTGGTCCTCTTTTCATCATTATTGTCACCTAAAAGAATTTTCATCATTATTGTCTTAAGGACAATGACCTTGGATTATATGCCATACATTTAAGCTCAGTTTGGTTTTATTATTAGAAATATCTAGTAATTATAGCTGTTTACTAATATGTTGTTTGAAATCAGTCTCTAAAAATATTTGTCCAAGCACACTAATTAAATTTATAGGGGACAACTACAATTATAGGCTATCATTGTAAGCCGAACCAACCGGAGCCTTAATTAATTTAAAAACTCTGTCCCATAAAAAGGTTGCAATTTGGACAAACAAATTCATGGAAGATTTTTGTTGTAGTGGTCTTCGAAAAATATTTTAAACAAGGGCAAAACCATACATTACAATAAATCTGCTAGGCTAAAGAAACATACACTCCCTTAAACAATAACATGATATGATAACTGATAATAGTAGAAACAACTATATGCAACATACAAAACAGAACCTACCCACATACGATATGTAGCACACCCTGTCAACTTGAATTTGTCACACATTTCGGCTCCATCGCATGTGTATTTAAATCATTCAAGGTGCGGAGGGGGATACCGTAAATATAGTTTGTAGCAGGGTGAGCAGAAGCAAGAAAACTGCAGCGACAACAGAGATGAATGCCCAGGGACTATTGCAATAATCACGCCTTAATGTTGCTTTCCATTTGTTCCAGGTTCTATCATAATACTCGTTGACGCTGCGAAATAACGAGTCATAAAAGAAGTCATTTCCAAAGATGCCAACTTGAACACCCAGCTTATTGAACATGGTGGCGACTGCTTGATCATTGCCTAAGTAGTTAACAATTATTCCACATCTACGAAGTAACTCCACATCCTTGTCTGAATTGATGAGGCAATCCATGAGACGACAATAGGAAGTGAGGTATCCTCCATCCGTGGAGTACTGTTCAAAGGCAATGATATTATGATAGAAACTCTCTGTACTATCATCAATTATCATAGTTGGAATCTCGAGTATCCCCTTTCCACTTCTGAACTCTATATCAAATAAGCTCCCAGCTTCAAATTTGTTCACGAACTGGATTCCTGCTTCACTCAGTTCTGAAGCGGAACGCATGAAAGACCACTTGAAATCATCTAACCGCGACACCTGGTCCATTTTTTGGAAGGAAGGACACCAAATCGACTGTAATAAATGCAGTAGATGATTGGAATCTTTCACGTAGCCTCCAATTTCGTCAACCCTGAGCCCTGGCATTGTATATTTAAACAACTGAAGTAGTGACTTGATGTATTCGCCCTTTTTTTCCTTGACCGTGATATCCAGTAACTTCCATAGTACACAAAAAGGAAGTTGATTCTCAACTAGTACAAAATCACGTAAAATGCTTCTCAAAACCAGACCCCCTTTGAAGACAGACGGATCCAGCTTTCCCTCACGCAGTTGATGAATTAGCTCAACAATAAAACATCCATCAAGGACCATCATTTCTAAGAACTCTTCTATGGAAATATTTAAACTCAACTGTGAGTAATAATCACGAGCTTCTTGTGCGATACCACTCACCTCGTCCATGTATATTTTCGGCTCGATCCCATGTCTATCGAGAAGCATTCTCAGAAAACGCACCTTGTGCATTTCCATTTTCTTCAAGTGTTCCTTACCATAATGGTAAGGACCGATAGAGACGCTGTAGGGTTCATAGGCTTTTTTATTCACCTCAAGCACGTCACGACTCAGCCTGAAAATTTTCTGCCCTGGCAATTTAGCTGAATGCAATTTCTCCAGCTTCTTAAATATAGAAATGTGAATTTCCTTTTTTTCCTCTTCGTCTGCCATCACCTGAAAGGAAGAATATGTAGAAATTATCTAATTTAAGTTGCAGACATTGGAGGAAAAGGTTAAATCTGCGAAAGTAATTCAGTTAATAAACTTACAACGTATGCAGCTGGAATATAAAATCAAGAAGGTTGATTGTAGGGGTTGAAGTTTTTGAAGGATTTGAAGAGGGGAAATTACAAGACAAGATAAACTCTCCAATATATGTTGTTGGGAACCATTTTTTTCCACGGCCATGGATAAGTGAGTCTTTCAAATATAAAGAGCCAGCTTTTCTTTTCTTTTTAATTAATTTTTTCCAGCAGTTTTTCATGCAGTTTGGTATAACGGTTTTGAGATTGCAATTAACGGTTTTACTTAAATCGTTAAATATAAATGTTTGATAAATTTATATATTTTGAAATCGTTATAAATAAAGTGTTTGGTAAAATTTTTATTTAACAGTTTAAAATAACAAATAATGGTTAGGGTCAAAACCGCTAATAAATTAAAAAAATTAGTTTATTTAACTCAATCTGTTAACTTCCATATTACAATTTATCATTATATTTATCTTTATACTAAATATTTACAATCTCTTTCCTCTTTATATTAATATTTTATTTTTTTTATTCCTTCTTTAATTATCATTCTATCTCTATTATTTTTTTCTTAATAATTTGATGCATCTCAATATATCATTATATATATATATATATGTATATCTCTCTCTTTTTATCTTAATTTTTCCCTCTTCCCTTCTTTATATTAAAAATGTTTTATGTTAAAATGAAAAGGGTGGCTCCTTTACATGCATTATTAATAATGTTCTAGGTTCTCTTTTTTTTTTTTCTTTTTTTTTTTTGTAACTCCATCTCCCCAACCGTTACTCTCTATTTAATTCTATTAAAATTTGATATATTGCAATACAGGTTTATGGAATGCCAACTACTAATATATTTATAGAATGCTAAGTATGTAGCGCATTAACTTTTCCTCTATATGTATTTTCCATGTATCAGTATAATAGTGCTAATATTCTATAATTACATTTATTTCCTATTTTTAATATGTTAATAATAAATTTATGTTCCAGATGATTCTAGGTTTATAAATGCCAACTAATATTATATTAGTTTCTAATTAAGCTTGTTAAGAATTTATTTAGAGTTTTTTTTAAGTTGATTGAACATTTATTTGAGAATTTTAAGTCCATTGGGTATTTATGTAGGATTTTTTTAAAATTCAATAGGTATTTTTTTTTTTTTTTTAGACCAATAGATATTTATTCAAAAAATTTAAGAAAAATTTTATTATTACAGTAATTTTATATATAATTAAGATAAGATTATATACTACATACTAAATAGAAATGTATTAATAGAACTTCTATATATATAGGTAAAAGTGTATATCAATCTTGACTCTTAAAAAAAATTAGAGTCCAAAACTTAAATGACGTGGTTTCATTTAATTATAATCTAATATAAAATCTAGAAATCTATTGTATTAATTGTTGATATGTACATTTATAAATTGAACATATTCTTGAATATAATCAGTTTCTAAATACAACTTTCTAAATTTTGAATTAATTTTTTAGTTTCCAAAATATAAGAATCAGCATTTAATAAAATGGATTTTTAAAGTTTAAATTGTGTTCTAATTAAATAAAATGATGTAATTTAAGGGTGAAACTCTAATTTTCTTAAGAATTGAGACTGATATGCACTATCTTGATATATGTATAAGTTAGTACATATCAATCCTAACTTTTAAATTAATTGGAGTCTCAAGCCTTAAATGAGGTCGTTTCATTTAATAAAAATTCAATTTAAAATTCAAAAATCTCTTAGTATTAAATTCCATATTTGAATTTCGAAACTATAAATCCAATTTAATATTTAAAAATTCATATTTAAAAACTGATTATATACAAAATATACAATTAATTTTCAAATGTAAGTATCAACATTTAATACTGTAGATTTCTAAATTTTAAAGTGAGTTTTAATTAACTACAATGATGTCATTTAAGGTTAAAATTCTAATTTTTTTTAAGAATAAGAACTGATAGGCACTTTTCTCATATATATATATATATATATATATAAAAGCTTATACTTATTAGTTGGGTCTCAAAAAATTAAAAGCAAAAAGGCTTAAAAAAAACTAAAACAAACTCATCTATGGTTAAAAAATAAGATATTTAAATCTTTTTTAACGAAAGTTTAATGAAATGACATAATTTGGAGGTTTTTTTCTCTTAATTTTTTAGAGACCCAATTCATAAGCACTTTTCTTTGTATATAAAGACTTTGACTCGGAGAAAAAATTTAGGTATGATGCATTGAAATAAATCAACTTTTTTAGAAGTAAGATTGAATTCTTTAATAATAAAATATTTAATCTAATTCACCATTTAGTTATAGTAGTTAATGAGAAAATATTTTTTATATAATTAGACTGCTTAATTAAAGCTCATTAGTGTGTAGAATAGTAAAATCCAATTCTTGATGAATAAGATACTAAATCTCAGTTAAGATTGAATTATAGTAGTTAATGTTCTATTTCTATATTAATATCCAAGATTTAGATTGGGGGTTATTAATTCCAACTTATAGCACAAACAAACATTAATAAGAACTATTTTTAAGGTTTTTTTTTAGCTGTGAAAATCTAAATATATAATTTAATTTTTATTGTTAAAGCACTCTGAAGAATTGAGGAAGATGAAATTAAATCTAATTGACAAATGTTTCCAAGACAACCATTGCACACAAATAACAATTGTTAGGCCAAATTTAGTTCTGAAAGTTTTAGAGTCACATTAAATTAATAAATTTAAATGAAAAAATCTACACCTACTATCTTTTATCCTTTCCCTTTTTATAATAATGAGGTAAGTTTAATTGAAACTATACCTTTTTTTATCAAGATATTTGAGTAATAATTTTTTTGGCTACCCAAAAAGCCTCGTTTTGCTTCTTGGTTTTCTAACCCCTTCAACGCTTGCTACTCCTCTCTATTTTCCTTCCTTTTGTCCGTTCACCATATAAATAGGAAAAATTGTAACCCCAACGGATGAATTGGAAAAATATTAATTAGACCAAGTAATAAAAGAAATATAGTTAATTTTAGATGAATAAGATACTCAATAAATTATAATAGTTCTTTTACTCCACTTATATTAATTCTTAATTAAGTTTATTTTCTTATTTATATTCGAATCATTAATAGTTAAAATATTTATATTTATTAAGTATTAGTTGAGAATTTAAAACTCATTAAGTATTTATTAATATTTTTTTAAAGTTCTTTGGATATTTATTGATATTTTTTAAAGCCCAATGGGCATTTATTGATGATTTTTTTGTCAATTACAACAATTTTATATATGATTTTTTAAAAGTTTTATTGAGTATTTATTGATATTTTTTAAAATCCAATGGGTATTTATTTGAGAATTTTTTGTTATTACAGTAGTTTTATACCTAATTAAGATATGATTTAATATTTAAATATCATAATTTTGATTTAAATCAAAATGTTTCACAAAATATGGATGAATAAACTGGTGAAAATTAAGAATCAAATGGTAGAATTCTAAAATCAACCAAAATATAATAATTTCAAAGTCTAAGGATTACATTGTAAAGACTTTAAAAAATTGAGGACCAATACATAGTTTTGCCACTAAGAAAAGAAACAAAATTTTCGGTTGACTTTTTTTTTTTTGGTCTTTTGTAATACTAAATCTATGTAATTAGAAACAAATTAAAAAAGATAAGTTAAATTTTATAATAAGAAAGTGTTAATAAAATTAATAAAAAAATTAAATCTTATTAATATTTTAATAGATATTTTTTATAAAAAAACTTGTTAAGTATAAAAATCCATTATCTATTTATTGAAGTTTTTTTAAAACACATTGGGTATTTATTAATAATTTTTTAGATAATTTTTTAAAATTTAATGAGTATTTATTTAAAAAAATTTTATTATTACAATAATTTTATATATATTTAAGATATTTGAAAGATAATATTAGCAACAGATCTAACGTTACGGTAAAAATTTACTTACAAAAGAAAAACTTGCAATATAAACTTCAATAGTACAATCTCAGTTCAAAAAAAAAAAAAAACTTCAATACTACAATCCAATAAAGGCAAAAAAAAATATCATTTGTTTCTGGATTCCATGCACGCGCTCAAAAAGTAGTTTGAAATTTCCGATGACGACAGAAGTAATATATTTCCAAAAGAACAAAAAACATCTTTCGTATCTGTTACTGAAAAAAACGTGAAATATAAACTTCAATAAAGTAATCCAATGAGGACAAAAGAATGCCCTTTGCCATTGGTGACAGTGACACTGCATTTGTGCATTGAAGTAATGATTAGAAACAATGATGCCGCTATATTATATTAGAAGTATTCATTGAATAAAGCAAAATTTAAGCTTGTCTTTAGGGATCACTGCATTGCTACTGTTTGGCGTGTAACAAATTTAAAATTTTTAATGGTCGTTGCAATGGAAAGTCAAATTAGAACCTCTCCTTGATTGATGAAAAACGTGGGCTTGTGTCCTATTCTTGGAGTTAAGAAGGTAATAAATGCGAGACGGGTAGAGTGTGTGGAAGAAGGGGACAGCGTTTGGTATAACCACCTAGCATAAAACATCATTTAAGCTTGTCTTGAGGAATCACTGCATTGCTACTGTTTGGCCTGTAACAAATTTAAAATTTTTAATCAAAGTCGGTGTAATGGAAAGTCAAATTAAAACCTCTCCTTGATTGATGAAAAACGTGGGCTTGTGTTCTGTTCTAGGTGTTAAGAAGGTAATAAATGCGAGACGGGTGGAGCACGTGGAAGAAGGAGACAGCATTCAGTATACCTACCTAGCATTAAAACATCAAACTAAACCTGGCACATGGGCGGATTACTTCGGATTCGGATTGAACCAATTTAGATGACGAATTATATGAATTGAGTTATAAATGAGTTGTTGGTTAAAAAAGTTTAATTTTAATTTGATTTTAATGGATTATATGTTAATTTGTGAGTTGATTTTATTTTTATTTTTTATAATTATTTTTCGTTAATTTTATTATATATAAATAAAATTATATATATATATATCTAA